GTGCTGGAAAGCAGGTCCGTCCCCAGGGTGGGTACTGACAGGAAATCATCTGGGGTGATGGAATGAATGGCCTGGGTCTCGGTTGCCTTTGTTACACAGGAGTGACAGGGGACTGTACACTTAAGAGTCTATGCGCCTTATTGATGGTACACTGCAAACAGTTAATTCTTTAAAACCAAAAGTAAACGGGCATGTTCCGTTTCATTGGGTTCATTCCATTTTATGTTGTGTTTACCATCAGCTGTCACTGATTGCCTCTGGGAAGAAACCGTAGCCAGGGGCAGGCGTGGGAAAGAGATCTTCAAAGTGTTGGCCCCTTTGTACTTTAAACTTTTGAACTGTGAGGCGGTATTAGCTTTAAAAAAAAAAAAAGTAAAATTTAAATTTTTTAAGAGAAAGAATTTAAAAACATGTCCCTCATGGACACAATAAGGGAGACACAGCTCTCTGAGTACTTTTAAGAAATACCCCATCTATTGTGGAAATGTTGTTCTTGAAGCAATATACTATATGTGGTCTGCACTGGATCAAGCTCCTCGGAGCTCTGAGTGAATACTGTTTCTTAGCATAATTTAATACGTTAGTATTTTCCATAAAATACATAGATGATACACAAGAATACATACATACACAGTTATAAAATACTTATAACTTGAACACTATGTACCCGCAACACAAGACAGAAAATACAACACTGCCTGTACCCCAGAACCTTCCATATGTCCCTCTGTGATCACGCCTTCTCACTCCTCCCAAGGACAACCGCTCTCTTGATTTCAGGAATAAGAATGTCTTTCTTATCTCCTATGTGTATATCCTCAATCAATACTGTTCAGCTTTGCACAATTTGAAACTTTAAAAAAAAAAAAAAGAATCATTCTGCACATATTACCGTGTGCTTCCTCTGCCCAAAAATACATTTTTAAAATTCACCCATGTTGTTGCCTATCACTGTAGCTTATTTTCTTTGTTTTATATTGTAGTATTTTGGGGGATGGCAGGAATAAATGGACTACGATTTACTTACCCATTATAATATTCATGGGTACATAAATGAGGTGGCTTTTGTTTTATCCCCATTGCCTAAAGAAAAGACAAGTCCATACACATAACATGACACTCAAGGAAACCATTGCCCCAAAATGTGACACCTAGCCGGTCTCATTTCCCCCACTTTTCTCTACCAATCCGTGTGCCATTACATCAGTTCGGCAATACTGATTGAAATATCAGGTACAGCTCTTAAGGGCTGGAAGGCTGCTGACCATGTACTAGATCTACCCAAAACATTCCTGTCCATCAGGATCTGGTCCAAGACCCCACAACCTCTTCTGTCCACAATGCCACCACTCCCCTGAAACTGCATCAGGATAACCTACTCTTTCTCTGATTCTGTTTTTAAAAAATATATTTTATTTATTTCAGAGAGCAAGGGAGAGGGCAAGAGAGATAGAAACATCAATGATAAGAGAGAATCATTGATTGGCTGTCTAATGCTCCACACAAGAGATCAAGCCCACAACCCTGGCATGTATCCTGAGCAGGAATCAAACTGTGACCTCCTGGTTCATAGGTTGATGCTCAACCACTAAGCCACACCAGCTGGGGGTTGCTCTGACTCTTTTAACACACTTGCTTCACGCAGCTTTGAGTTAGAGCTATTTGTTAAGGCCATATCTCGATGTTGGTTTTTGTAGTTCATAGTACTAAAATCTTGCAGATAATGGGCAGGCAATATATGTTAGAGCTTTTGAACTCGAATCCAAAATCCTGAAAGCTACTGCTGGTACCAGGTATTAAATCATTCAAAAATATATGTTTGAAATTAGTCTCCACAAAGATTAAATACTAATTAACATCATCAGTCTTGCTTAAGGTAAGATGTGGGGTCCTCGTATTTCTAACCTTGATCTTTTTGTTTTTCTCATTAAAAATATGGAGCTTTAGAATGACAGGGACACAGAATGTTTTAACATCATCATTTAAGATCACTTAATAAGAAGTACACTACTTATGCCCTAACTAGTTTGGCTCCGTGGATAAAGCATCGGCCTGAGAACTGAAGGATCCTGGATTCAATTTCAGTCAAAAGCATGTACCTGGATTGCAGGCTCAATCCCCGGCTCTGGTTGGAACTTGGGTGAGAGGCAACCAATCAATATGGCTCTCTCACATCTATGTTTCTCTCTTCTCTCTCTCTCTTTTTTATTAAAATATTTTTTAATTTATTTTTTACAGAGAGGAAGGGAGAGGGATAGAGAGTTAGAAAAATCAATGATAGAGAAACATCAATCAGCTGCCTCCCACACGCCTCCCACTGGGGATGTGCCCACAACCAAGGTACATGCCCTTGACTGGAATGGAACCTGGGAGCTCTCAGTCTGAAGGCCGATGCTCTGTCCATGCAGCCAAATGGGTCAGGGCTCCTCTCTTTCTGTATCTCTTCCCCCTCCCTTACATCCTTTCTAAAAATCAATGAAAAAATATTCTCAAGTGAGAATTATCAACAACAACAACAAAAAGTACACTATTTAAAGGAAATGATGTCCTCAAAAAGTGCTTAACCACAGAAACAACAAAGGAGAAAAGTCCAAAATTTTAATGAAATTTATGAGTCAGAAATTCCAATTAATAAGTATTTCAGAATTCAAAAAGTGATACTATTATTTTCCTATTAAAGAAAATACATGCATGGAATGTAGACACTGCAAACTGGAAAGAAATGAAAGAGATGATCAAAGACATAAATGGGTTGAAGGCCTGGTCACTGTTTGCCTCTCCAAAGAACTCATAAAACCAAATGGATAGAAGATATCACTCGAATAATGCCAAATATGCCTTCAATTAGTTTATGCAGAAGTCATTCTTTAAATAGAGGTTAAGAATACATCATAGGAAAAAATGTTTGCAACTCATATTACAGAAATTAGGCTAAAGTCCTTAATATAAAAAGAGTTCCTACAAATCAATAGGAAAAACCCCAATGGCTCAACTAAAAATATGGATAAAAATTACTTATAAACAGATAATGCAAAGAAAAAAAATTATGACCCTTGAACATAGGAAAAATTCTCAACCCCAGAGAAATAAAAATTAAGGCCATAGTGGGATATCCTTTTCATCTAATTTGCAAGATCAACAAGTTTGATAGAATGCTGTTGGCAAGGGTATAGAGAAACAAGCAGTTATATGCATTGCTGGTTGAGGTATAAATTGGTAGAACTCCAAGGAAGCCTAATAATTTAGTGAGATCCATCAAAATTACAAGTGCCTGTCCTCTCTGATCCAACGATTCCACGTCTGGGAATCTATCCTACAGAAATACTTGCATATATGCAAAATAGTGCATGTACAAAGCCATTACATGTGCCACTGAGATAGCAAAAGTTTAGAAACAAACTTAGTTCATCAATAGCACACAGGTTAAATAATTAGTGACATCCTTACAATGGAATTCTATGCAGCTGAAAAAAAATAACAAGGAAGTGATCACCCAGATACACTAAGAGAAACAGCACAGGCAGTATTCTTCATTGTGGGTAGAATATTGTGTATCTGCTGAAATATGCATTATCTGGAAAGATACAAGGAAACAGGTAACATTGGTTGCCTCTGAGAGGAAACTGGGTAATTAGAGACAGACACAGGAAAGAGATTTTCAAAATGTCTATTCTCCTGTACCTCCAAACTTTTGAACTAAAAGGCTATTAGCTTTTTTTTTTTAATAAATAAAATTTAAAAATAAGAAAAAATGATTTTCAAAATAGGTCCCACCTTGGAAAAATGAGTGAGACACAACCTATCTAGCGTAACATATTCTCCTTATTTGAGTGCTCACATAACTTCACAACAGCATAAAGAAATTTGGAAGAAGAAGAAAAAAAAAACCTCTAGAAATGCTGATAGCAGAGACTCAAAGTCAAGTTAATTCACATGCAAGGGCCCTGATAAGATACAGCAAGTTTTTTAGCGAAAGCCAGCACTAGCACAGATCTGTAAGAAAAACATCTTTGAGTTGCTGGATTCACCTAGATAGAAAATGGATGGCTCTGTGTGGATGTCTTGTGCATTTACTTCCTGACTTTAAGGTTAAGAAATCTATGCCCTATAACAAGATATCTGTTACCTAAGCCCTGCGTAATCTGCACGGTGTGGGTCGTGCTTGTTATGAGGACTGGGTGGCAAACAAAGAAGGCTTTTCTCCGCCCTCCATCAGATGACGGGGCTGTCCTTCCAGGAAGGAGCCAGACACGTCCCCTGTCCTGGCCGGTGATGGGGTCTGTCTATATGGAGGGACAAACCTGTTGGTCGGGAGGCTTGTCATAGCCATTCCTGTGTGTTCTCTCTGCACTTCACCTAAAAAAATATATATCTGACTGTTTTCCACACTGAGTACACCTCCGGTGTGGGAGGTGTTTATAATCCATCTGGCTGCCTCCTGCTCTCTAATCCGGGAGCAAAGACAGTAAACCCAACCCTCCGGGGAGGGGGAAAACAAGTCATTCAGTGCCCATCTCAGCTGGCAGTCTGGAGCATGTCCCTAAGCTGGCCCAGAGATGCCTGCTGGGGGTGCAAGAACGAATACAAGTTCAAGCACGTGTGCTCGGGCATGCTTTGGGGGAACAGGTCAAAACCTGCAGTTTTAGAAAGCAGAAGCCCAAGTTACCGAGTTCGCTGGGCACACCTATAGGTGGTACAGGTGCAGGCGGGTCAGCCAACGACCTGGCCCGTGAGACAGGACACACACACACACACACACACACACACACACACACACACACGATGACCACTGTTTACAGGCAGCGCATCTGGAGCAGAGTGGCGATGGGTGTCTACCTGCTCAGAGAGGGGACCAAGAAAGTGGGGCAAGGCTGACACTTCCTATTCCGCAATGTCCAGCGATCACCGCCACCCCAAGCGCCCCAACGTGGGCTGCCCTCTCGGATGACCCCTAACCCCACACATCCACAGCCACACCCGCCCGGACCCCGAGGTCTCACCAGAAGAGCAGGTTGGCCCCGGCGAAGCCCAGGAGGGTGCGCAGCGGCCTCTGCCAGCTCAGGAGCTCCCGGGCGCAGCAGCCCAGCCACAGCCCGGGCTCGCCCAGCAGCCAGCTCACCGCGGCCGCCACCTCGCCCGCCGCCTCCGGCACCTGCCTCCCGGGGGCCGCCGCCGCCCCTGCCTCCGGCGCCTGCTGCCCCCGCTCCCCGCGGGGAGCCCGGGGCGGCGGCTCCTGCTCCCCGGCAGCCGGAGCCGGGCATCCCTCCTCGGCGGGCTCCGGGGCCGCGGGACTCGCCATCTCCAGCGGCGCCTGCGGGCGGGGCGGGCTCGCGGGGGCGCGCCTGGGTGCGGGTCCGACACGGGGCGCGCTCCGCGGGGCGCCGGGCTGGGTGCCTTGTGACGTCAGCCCGGCCGTGACTGGGGCGCCTCCCCGGGAAGTGGGTGCGGCCAAGCCCGCGGGGCGGGGCGGGCGGGGCGGGGCGGGAGCGAGCTGGGCGGGGTCCCCGGACCCAGGGAGCGGGACCCCGTTTCCCTTCCGGCTGCGGAGGGGGCGCAGAGGACCCCCACACACACCGGTTACCTGTCTCAGAGGGAGGCAGGGCTGGGCAGCACCCATCGGACAGCTCAACTTCCTCCCCGCGGCCGCCTGCGCGCATCCCGCAGCCCCGACGGTGAGCGGGTCTCTGCCCCGGCCGCCCCCTGGCCCGCCGCCGTCTATAGAGCTCTGAGTGCGAAGACCGCAATAATATAAAAGTGGGATTGAGAAGGGAAGGAAAAATACACGTGGCTCAACAAAAGAGCATCTTGTCCTCTTTTTTACATTCGCAGTAACACAGGACCCCAGCATTGAGGCGGGAGGCGGGACGCTGAGGGGGAGGGAGAAGGGGGCGTTTCCTCTCTCCAACTGTGGGCAAAGTCCTCTGGCTCCAAAACACGCATTCGTCTGTGGGAGGCACTGGTGGGAGGTACTGGAAAGAGGTTCAGATGAGCTCGGTGGATAGAGCCTGGATCTGCGGACTGAAAAAGGTCCCAGGTTCGATTCCGGTCAAGGGCATCTACCTTGGTTGCGGGCACATCCCCAGTAGGGGGCGTGCAAGAGGCAGCCGATTGATGATTCTCTCATCGATGTTTCTAACTCTCTATCTCTCTCCCTTCCTCTCTGTACAAAATCAATAAAATATATTTTAAAAAGCCCATTGGTAAGGGAGTCTCTGGGGAAAGTTCTATAATGTTCCTCGGGGTGGTCATTGTATACGTTTATCTCTGTGTACATACTGCAGATGTGTGCACTTTACTGTATGTATGTAACACCTTAGAAAGTTTACTCCTTGACTGGATTCACGTTTATTGAGCACCTACTATGTTCCCAACCCATTGCTAAGCTCTGTGGATGTGGCTTCCACCCACCAGAAGCTCCCATCCCAAGGAGGGGCCAATAACAATTGTGAAAAAAACCTGTCATAGAAATCCCTCTGTGCCCAGTCCTTACTTAAATCATGCACCTGAAATTAGGGATGGAGGGGAGGAGTCAGGTTTCAGGAGGCTCTTTGGAGTAGGTGACATCAGCCCTGGACTATGAGGAGGAGGGAAGTAGAGAAGGGGCTGGGGAGGAGGCAATAGTCTGTTTTGGGAGATCCAAAAGAGAGAGAGAGAGAGAGAGAGAGAGAGAGAGAGAGAGAGAGAGAGAGAGAGAGAGTGAAGGTGCAGGTAGAGGTGCACATTTCTTGAATGATCCACTCATGAAGCCAATGCAGAGTCTCTGGGGTTTCTCACGTGCCTTTGAAGAGAATCCCTCTGATAACCCCAAAGAAAGTGGCCTGGCTGACAATGAGCAAGCAATGTAGAAACCATTGGGTTTTTTCTTTATTTGTTTACAAAAGAAAAACTATCTTTTCCAGGTGTCAGTCCTTCCTCATGGCCCTAGTGGAGGAGCTTTGCAAAAAGAAATGATGCTGTACTGTGTAACCTGGCCTTTATTTAGCACTGGGTACAAGCCAGGGGGTGCAGTATGCTAAAATGTTCGCTAGACTTCACAGCTGGAGGGGAGAATTCAGGGCAGAGGAGCTGAGGAGCCAGACATCCTAGCGTCCAAACCAGTGTGGCTATGCTTCCAAAAGCAGTCTGCAAGAGCCCTCCCTCCTCCCCCAAATCCTAATTCCTGTCAGGATCTGTTGACATAGAAAAAGCTGTTGACAACCAGGACATGGAAAAGCTAAACTACATTTGTTCTATGTGGTTTGCAACCTTATCATTTCTATTTAATTGATAAATCTTCCTACCCACCTTTATGTGAAATCTTTTCTTTCTCTCTTGGTTAAAATGACTAAGGAAAAAAGTGCTACACTAAACTGTTTTTGCATAAAAACACAACTAATTGCTCTCATTTGTCTTTTTCACCTCCGACCTTCCAACTATTACTGACAAAGGAATAATGTCTAGGGAGTTGACACTGGCATAGACATACAAATGGGTGCTACAGCTGGGTGTTTTTTCTTTGTCTGATTATCTTTGTGATGCTTGCATAATTTATTCAGTGCTAAGACTACATAAAAAGGATGCTAATGATGGTTAAAATAAACCTTGTCCCATATTTTCAAGAACGTGTCATGTTTAAAACTCCTGCGGGTATCCTTGCTGTTTAAGATTCTCTTCTGAATTTTGCATCTCTGTGTGTTGGCTAAGATTCTCTTCTGAATTTTGCATCTCTGTGTGTTGGCTAAGATTCTCTTCTGAATTTTGCATCTCTGTATGTTGGCTAAGATTCTCTTCTGAATTTTGCATCTCTGTGTGTTGGCTAAGATTCTCTTCTGAATTTTGCATCTCTGTATGTTGGCAACAGAGTGATTAACATGAATGAGCCAGATGATTTGACAATATATATCCCGATAAAACAAGTAAATAAGAGGGGAAAAGAGATAGCAAAGCAGTTGTAGCCACTGATTCTAAGAGAAATTTTAGAAAATAGCACAGCTCCAGCAAAGAAACTAAAAATACACATAGGAACTCTTAAAAAGAGGCCACTCACCTTTCCTTTCCAAACGTACCTAGAAAGTTTGTAATAGGAGAGAAAAATAATGAATAATTAATTCCCATTCCAAGAGGCCAAATAGACCACATTAAGCTAAGCCTTAGAATGAGAGGGAAATGCCCCAGTATTATTTTTCTCCCTAAAGTGTTCCATGTTAGAATTCGTCAGCAGGTCCATGACTTCTTAAATGAAAGGAGCCATGCATAAATGCTGTATTGTTTGCTAGTCCTGCAGGTAGATTATTTTTGTGCTGATAATTTTACGAAAGCAATTATATTCTCCTGTTCTTACCATATCCTCTTCTCAGTTCCCTCATTTTCTTGTCGCTGGGCCAAGAGAACCTCAGTAGTTCACACTAAGCACAAATAAATAGGAACCTCACACAACAGCCACCTGCAGGAAATGGAAAGGAAGATGGTACTTGGTTTCCAAGGCCTGGCTCTCAGGAGGGATTGGCTGTTTCTGTTGGGGGATTGTTAGGGTCAATGGAGGAATGCACCAGGCTGAAAGTGGTAAGGCATTATAAATGTATTAGGTTATTTGAAAACCAGATGGGCTGAGCCCCAAAATGGCACCAGCACCCAGGGACGGGGAGTCAAAAATTGTAAAGGACTCTAGGCAGGCTTTTTCGAGTGGGAATTCTCTGGGCAGATCCGGATCCTGGGCAAGTCCAGAGGGGAAAGTGACTGGTCTTAGCAAATGGAATGTGGCTTAAGTGAAAGGGAATGCAGGTTGTGCGCACCAGCTATGCTCCCAGGGTAGCTATTGCTCCCTAATAATAGACAAGAAGCTTTCTTAAGGCTTCAGAATGGTTAATTAGGACTTAGGCCACTCCAATAAAAATATATCCTGAAAAGGTACTGTTTATCCTCAGGTACACACATCAACACACACACACACACACACACACACACACACACACACACACACACACCATCAGCAAGGATGCCTGCACGACATTGACTTCCAATCCCTTCCCACCCAGCAGCAGCGGTTACAGTTGAATCAGCCCACCAGCCACTGTTTGGGAGGAGTTCATAGAGAGGACGGGCCCTCCTGTTGAACCACCAGCTGGACCAGGCAATGGGGGCCTCCTCGCCCCCTCCCCATCCTTGGAATCTACATTCCTCCGACTGTTTCCACAGTGGGAGCCGTTTCTCTCAACACAAGTTGAGAGAGTGAGGTGTTGGTGAGACCATCTGGACTAAATCCTGTTAAAACCTGAGAAGAAACCCTTAAGATTCTGGCGGGCAGGTGTAGAGATCTTGTCTTGCGACTGCCTAAGACAAGCCTAGTGAGGTCCCTTGTTTATTATTACACCCGCCACCTCCCAGCCTGGATGGTCAGCATGTCTTAAGAGGGGAGGTGGGGGGCAGTTTCAAATTTAACCCAGGGAAATCCTGAGGTTGCAATCCAACAACCTATTCTGCCTCCTCTTCTTTTTATTTCTTTTTGGTCCTGGTTCTGCCTCATTGCACTTTAGTTTCATTCATGCCTTATTCCTCCACTCATTGATCATTAACCACTCATCAAAGGCTGCTTGTGAGGCTTATAGTAAGACAAGCAGGACTGCTTATTTCCCTCATGGTGCTTAGGTCAGAGACACCGGAAAGGGAATCTGAAGAAGGTGGCTGGGAGGGGGGGGAGGAGGGGGGCGGAGCATGTGCCGGGACCCGGGTAGGGAGAAGCTGGCCTGGCCCCAGAGGAAACCAGGAATGGTTCTGAATGAGGGGACAGCAGATGAGCAGGTAGGTGCTCAGAAGGGCCTCCTCTAGGTACAGTAAGGAGTTGAGCTTTGGGGCCATTGGTGGGCTGACTACAGGAGAGTGAAGTGGCAGGTTGTGTTGTAGGGAGGTGTTTCTGCTCAGTGGATTACCTGGAGCCTGGCAAAGATACTGGCACTTTTCCTTGTCATTCACTAAGATGGGAGAGGAGGAGGAGAAGTTTGGGTCACCCTAGAAAATGCCAATTGGGCAGTTGGGTACAGGGGCCTGAAGCTCAGAACAAGAGCTGGATGCAGGCAAGAGAATGGGCTGCATGAGAATTTGGTGGAGGGCAAGGTCCAGCCGAGTTCAGAGGCGTTGCACTGCCCAGCTCAGATCAACTGCAGGGAGCAGAGAAGATGATGAGACATGTGGATAAACAGACCATAGGGAAGAGTGTTTTGAGCATCAGTTGCTAATTTATGCATAATCTTAATGAGGGGGTGAGGGGGAAGGAGGGTTCCTCAAATTTGCGGGTTTCTTTGTTGTTTGTTTGTTTGTTTTTACCAAAGAAGTGACAGACTCCACACACCAGCCTCCTGGGGGCCCAGGAGCTAAGCTGACTTCCCTGGAGGGAGTGAG